TGCGCTTTAGTAAAATAATCCAATGCTTGTTTATAATCTTCTTTAGAATAGTACATAACTCCGATATCTGCATAAATTTGCCCGAGTGTTAGACCATCGTCTTTTAGATCTCGATCATTCAATGCAAGTGCTTTTTGAAAGTACTCTAGTGCTGAATCGAATTCCTTTGTTTTTGCGTATAAATTAGCAATATTTCTATAAATTTTTGACGTAAGATCATGAGCTGGTGTGACAATAGCAAGAGTGTCGAGTGCTTGTTTCTGATAGGAAATAGCTTGAGCATAATTCTGCTGCAAAAAATAGACCATACCAATTGATATCAAGCACTTGGCAATATCACCTTCTGTCTTGTTCGGAATTTTCAGTTTAATTAATAAATCAAGCTGGTTATGGTAATTATTTATTGCTTCTTCATAATTTGTTAATTCAGTGTTTACTGCGCCAAGTGAACTGTAACATCGCGCTGAATCAAGAAGGCTTATTGGTGGTGAAATTAAAATCATTTGATAATGATTTTTCGCCTTTTCATATTCACAGTTCCAATACAAGAGATCTCCGCGGTTGAAGATATTAATATGTTGCTTATTTGATTTTGTTGTTGTTGTTGCACTTTCACGGATTTTTTCGTCCGTCATTTTGAGTTCTATTTCTGTGGTACGTGGAATAAGAAGAATTTTTTCAGAATTTCTTTGGTGTTGTTAACCAACAATAAATAAGAAATAAGAAAAAAAAGATAGAACATAATGTATAAACTCCTTTTTTTCCCTCCTATCCAATAAATGATAACACACGATGGTATAAAAAACGATGCAGTATCAAGAAAAGGGAATATAAGCAAAGAATGAAAAAAATCGAAAATATAGTCAGCTATTGAAAGAAGGAAGAATAGCAACCTTCAGATCAAATATCGTCCAATGTGCTGTTTAGTTTTCCTACATGAGCGGGAACAAAACGAAAAGAATAGAATATAACGAGACAGCAGTATTTTTTCTACAAGGAAAGAGAAAACTCTTGAGACACTTCATTTCTCTCTAAAAAAATAAGTTCCATATCGAACTTAAAAAGGTCCAGTAAAGAGTACGAAACCAAAAGAGCATCTTCCGGTGCGCACATGAGAAGAACCTTTTTGATGGTGTCGCAAAAACCCTAGAAAGGTCTCGTACCAATCTGCGAAACAAAACAAAATTTCTTGAGGATGAGGGTGTGAGTGTACATATACACGTTGCTAATAAGAATAGCAACACCCACACCCTCAAGATAGATTGGCTGAGTATATATTATCATCTCATAATCTGGTAGTATTTTTCTGCGCCAGAGGAGTTTAATAGCTGAAGATGATGTGGGCATTGATTGTTTGATTCCTTTCAGATTTAGAATTTGCTGAAATTTCTATTGCTATTAAGGGACAAAATTTATCTAATGCTCCTATCGGCATCCGTATCTACAGAAAATACGTCTCCGTTGTGCATTCGTGTGTTCAGTGCAAGGGGGGAAAGCGGATCCTTTTGGATTCTAGGATCCATCAGGATCCAATAGGATCTAAAAAGTCTGATCGGAAAAGGGACGAATTGGTCGTAGGATTTTCGAGTAAGAAGCATGAGTGAACTGAGAAGATTGACAAATTAGCCAATTTCAATGAATTCTGCTAGGTTCCAATGAATTTTTCGATACTTAAAAATCAAGTAGGATGCAGCGTCCGAGTGTACAGCTTACGCTCATGAGAGTAAGCGGTATATCCCTAATTATTGTTACTTTTATTATTTATTACGAGTAATAAGATTCAAAAAATTGAAACTAGTAAAGGCAACAACTGATAAGTAATAACGTGTAATAATTATTACCGTAATAAATACCGACCCAAATATATTACTTAGAATTTTTTAGTATCTATCCAGGAGGATTTCTTATAGCTACTTGCGACCTACCGTGAGATCGTATTAGACGTTCCAGGATCAGATCAGAACTGGCCCCTATAACTATTAGAAGTCTACCTACAGGTGACTCAGAACGTTTTAAGAATCATATAAGGGTCATACTTAGAAGTGTTTTGAGCCTGACCAAGGGTGGTACTTAGAAATTCTAAGGACTCAGTCAGAGGGAGTAGTCAGAAGTTTTAGGACCTACCCATGGATGGTCTCTTTAACTATTTGGGATCTACTTACAGATGATACCTAAAACTTTTAAGAAACTACCAAGGAGTGGCCCTGTACCTTTCTGGATCTACCCCATGATGGTAACTAGAACTATGTAAAAACTTCCCAGGACTGATCTGTGAAACATTTTAGTACATATATAGTGGCATCTCTTGTATTCTTCTGCACAGTGTGGAAGGGGATTTTTATAACTTATTCAGTCGTAACTAGGGATGAACCGAAACTAGCACTCATCAATACTTGAATCGAGGCTAACCGCGAACGAGAGAGAGATCAAAACCTCGACCACAACGACTGAGACGGAGATGGAAAGTTTCGGTCTCGGCACAATCCTATTCGTAACTATTGGCAGTTTCTATAACTTTTTCAGTCCTATATAAGCATCGTCGTTTTAACATGTCACTCTGTCCAGCAGTGATATCTTCAAACTTGACGTACTATCCTTAGCGGTCCTGAAAAATTCATAAGGGCAACCCTTAAGTAGATCCCAAATGACTAAAGGAACCGTTCCAGTGTAAATCCACAAACTTTACGGGACAGCCTCCAGGTAACATGCAAAAGTCACAGGGGTTATATCTAGATAGGACCCAAGGGATCGAATTGGTTACCCGTAATTACGGCCCAAATAACAGTAGTGATTGAATGCAGTTAATCTAGTGATTGTGGATAAATCAGTGAATAGAACTGTTTCAGCAGTTCTTTCGTTCATTTGATCTGAACTACGATCTGAGAGCTGTTATAGTCCTAGTGGTGAGAAAATATAAATATATCGATAAATAGAAATAATTCCACGATCAAGTTCTTTATTACTTTATCTCTTCCTTATTACTTTATTAATTGTCCTGACTTTTAGTTAGTATTATTAATTCGAAATAACCGTTATTACTTATTACCGGTAATAGTAACGTGCTACCCCTACTAGACATATATAATAAGATCATAGCTTTGTTCTTTGGTAGTTTGTGGCAGTAAGATGAAAGAGTTTAAGAAACAAATATTCAGAAACGATGATTTTCCAAACTTTAATGAGCCTATTCTAGCGCTTATTGTCAATTCATCGAGTAACAAGTATTTACATACATCGATTAAATATGTTAGATGAGAAACTATATGAAATACTATAATGTATTTTTATATGAATGTGTCACAGTTGACATGAGAATTTCAGTTGAGATTGGAATGCGCGAAATAAAATTATTTGAATTTCTTTTTTTTTCCTGCTCGTGTTTCATAAAATAAAATATATTTAAAAGGAAAAAAGATTTTACTATTAAATTCAATCGAATGAATGAAATGAATTATAGGTAAATGATTACCTTGTGCTTTATGTATAATAATAATAATAATAATAATAATAGAATTTTTGTTTTATTTAAATTCTACCGATATGAGTCATAATATAATTAATCTCCTCTGAATTAATCATCAGATGGTATTGCAAGGATGTTTAGTACATTTTTATATTTGATTTATAAAAGTTGTATGAATGAAATAATTTATTTTTCTCAGATAAATTCAATGTCCCCATGTCCCCATTGTTTGAAAAATACAGAGAGAGAATCTATCATTGAGAAATAAAAATACAAAATTTATTTTTCTCAGATAAATTAAATGTCCCCATTTCCCCATTGTTTAACAAATGTACAGAGAGTTGAATTTATATGAAAACCTTGTAAAAAAGATGGAAGGAATAATTATCAATACAAAATTTTCTAAAGGCAGATCTCAACAAAAATTCTATTAAATAAATTAAGAAAAAGCTATTCCAAACTCAACTAAATTCCAAACTCGCCTGCCACCAATGCAGCTAAAGTGGGTTCATTATTACTGATTTCTTGCATATTCTATTTAGAGAAGAAACGCTTACGCTTATCAGCACTCGTGACCGTGTGCTACACTCGCCTAATCACCAGAATCCATGCTTTTTTTACATTGTTTGAAGATTGCTGTAAAGCGAATCAGTTTTTGATGCATGAGGGGTACGTCGATACGGATACAATTTGTATCGCCCACCGACATCGTATCTGTGTTACATTGTTTCCATATATATATCCCTGAAAACCCTAGAATTCCTGAATCATGTAACGGCATGTATCGGCATGTATCGAGCCTCTGTTACAATGTATCCATATATATACCCCTGAAAAACCTAGAATTCATGAAACATGTAACGGCATATATCGGCTTCTATCGGGCCTCTGTTACAATATATCGATACAATGAGACAGAGTCTCAATAGAAGCCGATACATGCCGTTACATGATTCATGAATTCTAGGTTTTTCAGGGGTATATATATGGATACCTTGTAACAGAGGCCCGATACAAGCCGATGCATGGCGTTACATGCGTTACATGCCGTTACATGCCGTTACATGATTCATGAATTCTAGGTTTTTCAGGGGTATATATATGGATACTATGTAACATAGATACGATGTAGATGGGCGATACAATTTGTATTTGTATCGGCGCAGCTATGATACTCATTCTCTTCATCTCCTCACTCGCTTACATCCACGGAAATCAAATAAATCTGTATATCATTCGGTCGTCCAGATAATCCTCTATGGGAGCTGAAAGTATCTAGGCGAGTGACTTGGCCATTTTAATATAATATGCAAAACAAGAACACCTCTGTTAACTACCTTAAAACTTGAGGATGTGGGTGTACAGATCACAACTCCTTTCGTATACTCACACACCCACACCCCACACCCACACCAGATCGCTAAAGTCCGGGCCGATCGTTACGCCCACCGGAAGCTGCACAAACCGACAGGAAAAGCGCCTGAAGATTACCCTACCCGGTAAGGAAGCAAACGACATCACTGGAACATGAAAGCAGTATTCCGCCGTAAAATTTTCCAACTTTTATCTCATGATTTCCGGTGCATCTTGCGAAAAACACAGCAAGTCAGTCGGAGCTGATCAGAAAAAATCTAGAGAGCTTGCGGCTGGGACACTGCTACCATGTTACAATGATATCATCTGTTTTCCGACAGGACACAGTGGCTTTCAGGAATCTTTCCAATCAGTGTCTCCAGGATCTGCTGGATAGAACGATCGACACGGGACGTTGGATCTAAAAAGAAATAACATATTTCATCGACTTTTAAGTTTCGAAAATCGAACACACCATTAACATGTGTTTATCTGCCGTCTGATCTACATAGAGAAAAATATTTGATCTGCTATTAACTATTAAAATCGAGCTCACGATCAACATGCGTTTATCTGCCGTCTGATCTAAATAGAGAAAAATATTTCATCAGCTACAGTCCTCTGGGGTAATTCGGATCAAAATTTTGGAAAATTCATTTGTTTTGTTCTTTCTCAGTCATCTTGCATTGCACAATGATGATTTTTTAAACACTACTAGTTCAAAGTGTCCTCTCTCGAATCACGAAAGAATTATTGAAAAATATTATACCGGTAAAAAGTATTAGTCAAAATGGCAAAAGTAGTGTGGAGCTGATCCGA